GCCCTCTCCCATCCCAAGTAGCCTGGAAAGGAGATGAGGGACAGAAAGTGCTGTGGTCCTCTGTGTTGCCTTGTTATCTTCTGCCTGCCACAACACATTTCTCTACTAGATGACTATTTGCTGTACCACCCAGCCATGGAGCCAGCTGATTATGGATTGAAACTTCAATAAACTGAGCCAAATAAACTTTTCCTACTTTAACTTTTGGTGTCAAGTATTTTGTCTCATTAGTGAGATAAAAGTAACCAAGTGCCTTAAGCATCCATTAAGAGTAACTCTTGGGGATCTCAAGCCACTCTCTAAGAACTACAGCAATATATGAAAGTTCTCTTGTTCGTGCACTAGTAATTTTTTGCTTTTTTGATAATCACTATTCTGATGTAGGTAAGATTATATCATCATGGTTTTGATTTTAGTCTCTCTGATGGCTAGTGAAATCAAGCTTAACTTTTTCAGCGTCACAGAGCACCTTCTCCAGGACATGGTTCAGCCTCCTAGGCCTTTCTTTGAAATCTGTGTGGAAACCTCTATCAACTCACAGCTTTCTCTCTCTCTTTCTTTCTTTCTTTTTTTTTTTTTTTTTTGGACCAGGGATTGAACTCAGGTCCTTGCACTTGCCAAGGAAGTGATTATTCTACTGAGCCATCTCTCCGGCCCCCAACAGCTCTTATATTTTGTGTGCCTGAAAATTCAGTACCAAATCGATGACGCCAAGACCTTTGACAAGCTCAAGCAGTAGCCTAGCCCTCAGGGCTATGGTTGCAGAGGTCTCTGAGTTCCTGGATGCCTACACTCTTGGGAAAATACTTTCCTTGGTGGCCCTAATGAACGTGACAGTATTGTTATGTAGACATAAAGTATACTTATTGCTTTTTACTTTGTCTTTTGTCTAGAATGTGCTTTGTGCCCATAGAATATGTATTAGTGTTTATTTTGATGAACTCTGTTCATGAAGATTTTTTGTTTATTATTTTTTAACATACACATGTATACACATGCAAACACATAAACATTTAAGTCAATACAGTATATATCATAGGATATAGCATATACCGTATAATACATAATATATAGTAATGATATGTACATATATTTATATTGAATTAACATTTAGAATGTAATTTTCACTTGTGATTGTATTCTACTTTTGTATGTTTTCTTAGGTTGATACACTTCGAGCTAACTGTTGACTTTTTTTATTGAGAAACAAATAGCAGTGAGGCAGTTTCAAAGCAGATTAGTAGGACAGTTTCAATAATTAATACATTGTATATTGTTGTCTTCATAGCAGTTATTCATAGTACAAGATGCAGACATGATATCCTGTCCAAACACTATTAGTACAAATCTTTCTTCTTATTGAATTAAGGGAAAGTAGCTGTATATCTACCTTATTTTGTATATACTGATACAATATGGTCCTTCATTTATATCCCCCTTTTTGTTTTTTTTCTTTGTCAGAGATGGGTATTCATTGCCATTTAAATATTGTAGATGCATGAATTCAGTAAAATAATCCAATATAGTCCAGTAGTACATAATTGTAGTGTGTTATCCATAGGACTGGCAATGTCAGCAGTTGTTGACTTGAGCCTTTTAGAGCTCAATAACTGTTGTCTTTGAAAGATAGTTTTCTTTAAAAGTTTTTTTTTCTAAAAAAAAAAAGAAAAGTTTTCTTTCTTTGTTGTTTCTATTAGTTCAATCTAATGTTACCATCTGTGGTTATTTTAGGACTCAATCGATTTAGATGTATTATGTGCCTTCCTTCTGGTGACTTGAGGTCTTTATTCAAATTCGAAGTGTAAGTGTAGAGTTTGTCTTCCATCCTATCTGTGATTTCTGTATCTGTGGATTCAAGGATCCTCAGACTGAAGACATTTGCAAACTCATTGTATTTGTGCTGGACAGTTCCTACTTCTCTAGATTATGTAGTTCATTAGCTTTTTTATAACTCTTATTTTTCAAAGTTCGTATAATTTTCTTGACATCCTAGAGTGTACCTCGGTTGATTCATATTTGAGTGAGATCATTACTCTGTTGTGTTTAAGATATATGGTGTTATGGAGATGTTAACAGTTTAGAACAATAAACAGATATCACCCAACATTTTCTGTGCATCAGAAATCTTGGGATGGCTTGGTGAGTGGTCCTGGTACAGATTTCTTTGGAGACTTGCAGTTGAATTCTCGGTCTGGATGGACATCCTCTTATGGCTCAAAGAGGCCAAAAGCTTGACTTTTGAGCTCACTCATTGTGGTTGTGGGTGGACCTCAGTTCTGCACTGTGTTTTAGATGATTTTCTTTAATTATTGTCATTAGACTGCTGTGGTCAGGGCTTGCCAGGAAATACAGGACACTTAATTTATTGGATTATTTTATAACAGTCACCCAAAGAGTCAAGTTCAAAAGAGTCAGGAAATTTGTCCTTACACTGAAGACCCAAAGAATCCTGCTGAGTGCCTGAGTCCCACAGCAGTGTCCTTCAGGAGTCCAGCTAAAGACCTTGAGCCCATGGCAGTTCCTCATGTGAGTCTGTTTCATGGATTTGTGCTGGGTAGACCCAAAGGTCAGTGGTGGAAGCTAGAAAGTTTGTGCCACTGGGATAAAGGATCTGTACTAGCAGACCGAGGGATCTGCACTGGAGCCAGAAATGAATGCTAAAAGTAAAATCCAGAGCTCCTCAAAAAGGTACCACAACTATGCTCAGCTACAATGAGGTCCTGAGATCCTCCGACAGTGAGTACAGCCAAGTTCATACCAGGAAACCCAGCATGACAGGGTCCTCCAGGAGACTGAACAGCGCGCCATTTTTCTCTTGTATGAACCACAGTCATTTGCAGTGATGAGAAGATCCCAATCTCCTTCACTGATGAGAACAACCAAGTTCGTATCAGGAAAGCCAGAGTGACAAGGTCCTGAAGAGAACCAGCAGCCCCTGATGAATTGACACTTCCTAGCAGTACCCCTTCTTCTCTAGTTCTTTCTCTTTGGTTGATAGTAGTGCTCAGATGGGCCTCCTACACCCAGCACCAACTTTGATTCAGTTCAGCTGGGTATTACAAGTTGCCCACTAATTGCCAATCCACCACACTGACTTTTAAATTGCATAGTCAAAACTTGTGTTTTCTAAGTGTACCTCTCTCCTCGCTATTATAGACGGTTCAGTGCTTTAATAAGCAGACCCAGTTTGGTGTTTTAGCTTTCTGAATTTGTTTTAATTCTTCCATTTAAAAATCTAAGATTTGCAGTTTCATTTTTATGTGCAGTGCTCTCCCACTTTTAAAATATGTACAGTGAAGAATAACATGAGGATTTTCAAAGTTTTTTCATAGTTCAAGAACTATTTTTCTTGTTAGTCATGATTAAATACAAAATAGCCATTCTCATCAATATTTGCTATTTTTCTCAAGAATATTACTTAAAAAGGTAAAGAGTTAATTTTAATTTTAAAACTTGTAAAATAGAAATGTGAACAGGTTAAGCCAGGAGATGTAATATGGCTGTCCACCTTTTTTTTTCTCTTCTATAGGATTTATCCTGGTGAATAAGTATGACTCAATCCAGATCTTTCTCTATACAACACAATTATAGATACATAGATTCAGATTCAAGTATTTGTTGATTTAGATTTAGATTTAAATTTAGACTTACTCAATAGCTGAAAAACCTGAATTGGTGTATGTAGATGAACATATCCTGGGCATCTGTCCATGTCAGTACTTCTATATATTGAAGATGAATGCATATTCATGTTAGAGATACCTCATAATCTATTCTTCAT